GTGCGCAAGACTGTCCCAGGTCTTAAAAATGCCAAAGCGCAGTGCACTTAATGCACACTAAATCCACACTATCTCGAATACCGCTCCGGAGCGCTATTCGAGGCTTAGTGTATCCCATCATGCATCATGTTCTGGAAATAAATCGTGAGACTTTTTGCCGAGATCTCGCGAGAAGTCACGGAAACCTTTCCAATGCAAATTAAATATTAATATAATAATTAGATTACATATAATTTGATAGAAAAACAGTGTTTTTACCTTTTATTGGTGCAAAGATTAGTGGTCATATTTATTTTGTACAACATTTGCAACTGCTTTTTATCACTTAATTAGAAGCACCACAAATTAAAATTGTCATGTTATAGGGACTACTAAACAGACATTTAGAAGTTGATTTTGAAATGCAAAGTATTTAAAATTTAAATAAAGCTATGTAAACACTTGCATTTTTACAACACTACAAGTGTGTCCCATCAGGTAATGAAAAGTTCGACACACACTTGTGGTCTTCATCCTCACTTGAACACTTGGGCCAAATACAGGAAATACATCATATAAGTAGTCAAGTGGTCAAGTGCAAAGACCGCAAGTGTGGGTATTTGGACAAGGCATTAGTTTCCACCCCACTATGCGTTGTTGCTCAAATGCCCATGTTGCGATGCTGAGGGCATTCCAGTTCTGATGAGTTGGTCGAAAACAAGACATTTAAATAATAATAATTAAAATCATTTTTTAAATGAATAAATATACATTAAAAAAAAAAAAAAAAAGTTGAACAAATTAATGATATTACTTCTGAAAATTCACTCTGGGCCTGTAAGCCTAACATTGTTGACAGTAGCAGAACTAGAGGTCACAAGTCATCTGGTTTACTAAAATACATGTTTGGATCCAGGGATAAGCGCTTCTTAATCTTGCGTCAAAACGTCTGGCATTTTAAGGAGTTGCCGTGTTCTAAGCACAGTTTGTGGCGTAATGGAAAAGCGCCACTAACATTAATGTTAAATCAGCACCTCGTGGCTTTTCTTGGCGCTGCATTGACCCACGTCTCAAACGCAGGGGAGCCCAGTGGATGGAAGCATCCGTGTAAGGAGATTTACTGCCCTGTGAAGGGGGGCGGTGGTTATGGGTTGTGGATAGAGTTACAGCCTGACCCCGCTGCCCTTTCAGAGCTCTGGAGGTCTTCCGCAGTTGGACAGTTAGATTCCGTCCCAGCATTCAGTCTCTCTGTGGTCAGACGGCTATATTGAGTGACGTGTCCAGTTACGAGTGACAGTTTATGTGCCGGTGGGTTTTGAACAGGCTCTGCCATTTGTTGGGTCAGCTTGCAAAAAAGGGGTCGGCCTTCTATTTTGAGTTCAAGTGAAACGTTTTTGAGCGTACAATGACAATTTATGAAAATGGTCGGTTATTAGGCATTTAAAAATACACTTTCGAAACACTGATCCATTTTTATCAGTTATAATTTAGCTTTCATTACCATTTTGACCATCTTTCTGACTCTTGAGAGTTTTTATTAGTAAGAACAGAACATTTTTGTTTGTTTTATTTTTTTGTAACCGTCTATACTGTAACTTTTTATCAATTGAATGCATCCTTGTTGAATAACTTATTTTTTTAATACTGTTACACCTTGCGTAAGTTTTGAAATGTGTTTCTCACAGTGTTTCCTCTGGCCTGTTGGAAGTATGTTGACATGGTTTCCTCTCTTCTTCCAGTTTGCAGTTCTCATGTGGATCCTGACCTATGTTGGTGCCTTGTTCAATGGTCTGACCCTTCTTATTTTGGGTAAGTCCATTTGGGACTGTAGTCCTATTAGTTTATTATTCGTTTGCAGTTAATTGGCACTTGTCAGAATTATAAGAATATGCCGTAATTTTCAAAATGTGCTTTTTCTTTAGGTCTCATAGGTGCTTTCAGTTGGCCAGTGATCTATGAAAAGCATCAGGTATGTTTGGCATGTGTATGCATTGATAACTTCTGTCGTGGTTGATTAAGTATTTATCAGAGTCTTCAGTTTCAATAAACCTATAATGTATACCTGAATGCCGTAATTATTCTTTTTCACTCCTAATGCAGGCACAAATTGACCATTACTATGGACTGGTGAACAAGCAAATCAAAGATGTTTTGGGAAAGTAAGTCCGTTTACATTGTGAAATACATGACTGGTGTTTTCTTCAATAAACCAGATGAAAAAATTGTGTTTTATGATCATTTTGTAGCATATTTGAAATAATTGTAGACAAAATAGGGTTATTTTAGAATCACTGAGATACTGTTAGTTTTTATTAATATTTGTTTTTATTTTAGTTTTCCATTTTAATTTTAAAAGTGATAGTAATCTTGCGTGATTGTCACATTTATTTATTTATTGTTTGTCTGTGTGAAGTAGTTTTTAAATTTGAAGTTGAAGAAAAAAATGTAATTTTTATCTATGTATGGTTTCTATTAATATTTAATATAAAATTAAATTAAATGAAAATGAGAAATAATTCCTTGGCAAATGGCATGCATATAGATAGATAGATAGATGGATGACCCCTTGGTAAATATGATCCCAGAAGGCTGTGAAAATAAATCTGCATTAATCATTTTGATCTTTTATTGAAAAAATTCACATAAATCTAACATTTCATTGGAGAATAAGAATTTAAAATGGGGGGGGGAAATATCATTATGACATAAATGTTTTTCTCTAATACACATTGGACGCAATTAACGGCACCCTTTTATTCAATGCTTTTTGAAACCTCCATTTGGCATAACAGCTCTGAGTTTTCTCCTATAATGCCTGACGAGGTTAGAGAGCACCTGACAAGAGATCAGAGACAATTCCTTCATCCAGAATCTCTCCAGACCCTTCAGATTCCCAGCTCCATGCTGGTGCTTCTCCTCTTCAGTTCACCACACTCATTTTCTATAGGGTTCAGGTCAGGGAACTGGAATGGCCAAAGCAGAAGCTTGGTTTTGTGGGGTACCAATAATTGTCCATCGTGTATTTGAGAAAAACATTTATTTCATAGAGATTTTCCCCCATTTTCAATTGTTTTATTTCAATGAAATGTTAGATATTTGTGAATTTTTGTTAAATAAAAGATCAAAATGATTAACAATGCAGATTTATTTTCACAGCCGCCTTTGATCATATTTACCAAGGGTGAAAAGGCGCTGGCGCGCGCTATAGCCTATATCCTTTCATATCAAAGCGCGAAATAAACTGCGTGCATGCAATGCCATGGTCAGTTAAGTCATGAAGTTACCAAAGGCGATTAAAGCTGCCTTAAAACTGTGCATGCATGTAATATATTTTATGAGTCACATTTAAGAACATGTCTCTGAAATGGTTGAAATGGTTTTCAAAACTGTCCTGGAGAAGCCCAGCACTGTCTCAATCATCTAACACTCCCGATTTAACTCGTCAGCTCATTAATAGAGACTTTAAGACCTGAAGTGGGTCAGAAAAGGTAAAAAGAGTAAATAAGAGTAATCTAGCACATTAGAGAAAATATGATGCGTGTCAGATCCGCGTCACGTTCAGCAGCGGCAGCTCTTAAAGAAATAACAGCCAAAACAGCCTAATAACCAGCTGCTTTGATGTCTATCAAAAAAAGAAAAACTGTCTTTTAAAAAAGAAGAGGGAAAAAAAGAACTTTTATAGCTTTAAGGATTCATCTATATTTAATTTAGAATTTAGTGTTTGATAACTTTAGTTTCAATTTCTGTGTATTTCTGCTGAAGGGCACAGGTAAATATGACATTTATTATAATGGGTTTATGTGAAGATTGTTTTAA